AGTTAATCCAAGGTGAAATGTTTTGTAAATATACTAGAAAACCTTAGCTACATTTTGGTGAAAGTTGAAACTCGAAAGGTCGAATTATTGCAAAGATATTAGAATAACAAGATTATTTGTAAGCTGTACGAATAGTTTTGAGCACCTTTGTATGTATAACCTACATCAAATAATTCCTATTTATTCGTATATAGAATTATTTTTTATTAAATTATTATTTCAAAAACTATTTGCAGAGTCAAATAAATGTTTTAATTGAAGTCATCAGATGATGAATTTTATATATCACTTATAATATGATAATATATGAGAAATATAATATGATTTTTATTAAAACTTTCAATGACATCAAAAATCATTTTCTATTAAATATTTGTTTTCATTTGAATATTTTTCATATTAAAAGAAAATTTCAATTAATTGCTTCTAGACATCTAATAATAAAATTTTTATAAATAGACACAGATTGTAGACCGGAAGAAATGAGGTTGAAATAAGTACTTTTTGACAAGAAAAGTCAACGATTATAATAAATTTAATTTCCAATAACATTATATTAAATAACTTAAAGATTTATATCAAAATCTTTCATTCAAAATAGAATTACAGTATCTAGTTTTAGAAATTGACTTATTATTTTTCTAAAAATAGAATAACGACATAGTTTTTATGAAAATAAAGAGTAATGCATTTAAGTACACGATTAACAAATAGTTCACATTTTAATGTCTTGTCTATCTTCGATCATAATTATATTATAACTTAAATCTTTTTTTGTTATTATTGTGTACTAATATTTTTGAATAAATGAATATAATAAGATTGATTTTTCTTTTCTTTGTCAACATCATTGGATAATTCCATATTGAAAATTACATGTTAATATTAAGTTGATAGATTATGTTTGTCAATGTCAAACATTCTTTTTTTGATCATATAATTTTATAATTTGATTTGATTATTATTGCGTTGAAAATCAAGAAATTTCTTTCAATGATTGAACAATTTCTGTCTTATGAGATATTTATTATTTCCTTAGACAATATATTTTAATTAAAATTCATTTGTCAACTATGATATCTATTAATTATGTATATTCTTATTCTATATTCAATAAATATAGATGAATAAAAATAATATATAATAATATAAAATTAGCGTGAAGGTTTTTCTTTCTTTTTGTGTTAATGAATGATAATGATTGATCTTTTTTTTCGTTTTTTCTTCTCTTGACTCCTACGCTTATTTTTCTCTTATTCAATGTATTATATAAAGAAAACTACATCAATATTAAGAAACTCTTTTTAGAACTATTGTAAGTTTGATATTTGTTAACTGTTTTCTCCTACTTAGTTTTTGCGGTTTCGATTTTTGTTTTAAAAGTAGTGATTTTTACAAAAAAAAAAACACTCTAGTACTTGCCAAATAACTATCTACATTATTATTCCTTCACTAAAAACTAATGTATATTAGATCTAAAAAAAGAAATATTTCATGTCGGCTTGAAGGTGTCATGCATAATTAAAAGATAATTAGTCGTTAAACATATGTCTTTATTTCTAATCAAAAAAGATCACTACTTAGTTCATTTTTTCTCTCCTTTTATCCAGAATTTCCGCCTACATATTATTTTTTTACTTTGATCAGGATATCTATGATTATGTATAAACATATATGACGGATTCCAAAAAAAACAACATTCGTAATAGAGTTTATTACCGTATGTAAAAGCTTATCCGGACATTCTATCACTGTCCTTGAGGATTGTTTTCTTCCAATACAATTTTGCGTAGGAACAGAATTTCTTGTGGATATTTTGGGACCGGGAATAAGAATTAATATTGGTGTTTCCGACTTATTTTTATCTTACTTTCATATATGTTAAGCTATGGCTATGTAAGAACTTGTTATTTTTCCAAAATTAGTTAACTGTATGTCGAATCATAATTTTACTTTTATTTTTCAGTTATATAATATTGTGTGAAAAGTGATGTCATGAAAAGTTAGTGTATGGTAGTGATACTGTTCGTCAAAGACAAAAAGTAGAACAGTGACACAGATTCCGGAAGTGCAATGAGAATGAGAACAAAAAAGTCGTTCTTGCAGGATATTATATTCTATATATATATATATATATTTGAGCACATGCATCTATAATAGGTTTTCAAAGTTTTTAAGTAATTAAGACTACTAGCATAGAAGGAAATGAATAGAAGGAAATAAAAAATCTTCACCTGTAGAAAAATTCTTTCTCATTTCAGTCGTCTGATTGTCTAGGAAGGCTATACAAACATTGAGAAACATACATTAAAAGAATTTGTTTTCTCTTCAAATAAATATGTTCTTTGTTATTCTTCTTCACTTTTCATCCTTTATTACATCAAGACTATATTTGTAATGATATTGTCATAAAGCAATACAAAATTATTAATTCTCATTAACACTATTAACACTGGTAAGACGAGTATAGAAATTATATGTAGCACATAGAACTAACTGTAAGATCTTAATCTCACTTGTATTTTTTTACTTCTGTGACTGTATCTATCTTCAATCTTAGCAACAATCTAACGAATATATATATAGAACGGCAACATCGGGAAAATCTCATAAACGATAAAAAACGAAAAGAAAACTCATAGAACAACATGAAAGAAAGAGAAAAGTTCAACATATATGACAGAAAAGGTAAAGTTCATGATACATGATTAACGACAAGAGAAAACAAGAAGAACATAAGTACATATGTATAGTCCTATAGATAAAGAGAGAAAATCCTTATGACTGCATTCGAATAAGATACAGGTCATAACACTAATAACTTTCCGAATCATTTCAACACTTTTATTTAATTACTCTCTACCGTATCCCCAGAGATATAAAATCTGTCAATAAGACGAAAAAATTTCTCTTACTATTAAAGTAAAAGAAAAACTGGATTTCCCTTTTTTACTTACACATATGAAGATAAGCGAAAGAGAAATAGATTTATTTAACACACAAAAAAAATTCATATAAAAAAATAATCTCTATATAGGATCCTTCCTCATAAAACTCGATTTTCATCAAAAAAATAAAAGACTTTTGAGATAAACATATGAACATGGTGTCTTAGTTACCTAGTGTACTAATGTATAAAAATAGTTTTGACTCTCGAAAGTTTTATAAGTGATCTTTGAAACTATCTGAGAAAACAATGATGTCTAGAGCAATCAGTAGAATTTTATTCTGTAGAGTTACATCATCAAAATAAACAAAATATTTTTTGAAGGTAATCAAATCTTATATATCTAAGAGACACACTTTTGAGATCTACAATGACATGAGAGTGTGAGTGTGAATCTTCTCTTCACCCATACTTCTGTGAAAAGCTCCTGAACGGTAAGACGTAGAAGTGTGAATTATTTTTTATTAATATACTTCAATGAATCGAACATCTATGTAAAGTTTCATCAATAACTCATATACTCTGTCGAAATTCGATTTTTGAGTGAAAAGGAGCCCTTAATCACCAACTAATAGAAGTAGTTTTCATTCCCAAAAGTAATGCATTTTATAATTAATTAAAAGAATAAGCTATTTTTATACTTTCTATAAATAAATTAATCTTAGAAACTGTATGCAAACCTTATGCTATAATTTTTGCACGAGAAATATTTTTCTATTCGAATTCCCAAATGAAAAAATTTTCTATATCGAAAATAATTTATCTAATTTCCCCATACTTGAAACATTTCCCTCAACACGTGTTGATGCACACATCTAAACTCTGTATTGTCTGATATAACCATGAAATCGATCTAAAGAAATCAGTTTTTATGACAGAATTTATGATTTTCATTAAAAATAACATTTTGAGATAAAAATTTTCAACACAAAAAACAAACATTTTAGAACGTAAGAATTTTTCAGTCAGAGCGAATCTTTTCTAGTTTAATCTATTTTAATATTATCTTGGATTTATACAAAGAATATTACAAAGTCTTCTAACATAACACAACTCATATAGAGAAATCGTAAGTAGGATAATGTTTGTTAATGACTTAGTCTTCGTCAGAAAGACGAAATAAGATTAAGACAAGATCATGACTGAATCATATATAATTGAGAAAATTGGAATACAAAGTTTAATATAGTCATGAGTTAGGCATTTATTAAAAAATGAAGCAATGACTTTTAGAATTTCATTAGAAAAAATATTTTCGTTCTATGTATTGCTTACGGTAATTTAAACTTATCAAATGAAGTTTTACATTATATATAAAGTAGATAGATTAACGAGGGAACCTCCTCAGATGTGTCCTTCCAATTTCAATGATTTTTTGCCTATAGATATTACATAGTATTCTAATAAAAATCCTAAAGCAATTTAAGTTCTTATTGAGATTTGATTACACTATCAAATTTTTAATATATCTATTTTCTCGATACTCCCGATATTCAGAAAACTCGTATTTACAAATTTTGATCTGAAACTTTCCGTATATTAGAGAACTCAGCTACACTAATTACCATAAAAAAAATCAGAAGTTTTGAACAAAATCTTTTCGGAAGTTTAAGCTTTCAAAAAAAAAGTGCATATTCTATACACTATCCATGTAAAAGTACCTATATCTTGAAAAAATTTTATTTAAAATTTCTGAATTTTTTTTTATGAAGACTAGTCTAGCTGAATTATCTATATGTGGAAAGTTTCAAATTAAAATTCGAAAATACGAGTTTTCCGAATGTCTGGAGCAACGAGAAAATAGACATATTAAAAATTCAATAGCTTAGTTAAATCTCAATAGGAACCCAAATCGTTTAAGAGTTTTTATTAGAACACTATGTAGTATCTATAGGTAAAAAATCATTGAAGTTGAAAGGATACATTTGAGAATGTTTTCTTGTAAGTGACATAGTTGAAGTCTGGCTTAGATTAAAAAAATTTGAATAAAATTTTGTCATTTTAGGGCATAAAACTTCTTACCATATCATCATTTGATATAATCCCATAAAAAATGAACTGGATCGGTCTATCAATATTTGTCAATCTTCTTATTCTTTCCGTCATATCTTTTCAATTAACATCATCGGCTAGTTTTCCTAATCCACCTCAAAGACCACCATCGAATGCATCACCAGATGAACAGGCACTTTTCTGGAAATTATTACATAATTATTATGCTATCATAGCTCGACCTCGGTAAATATGATTTTGATTTAATAAATTACTTTTTTTATTTATTTTGCTTTCATACAGATTTGGTAAACGATTTAATTCTGCTTCACCCTATACCCAACAATCGTCGTTTATACCAATAATTGATCAAGATTCAATAGATTTATTTCCTTCGGTATATGATATGGATCACATGTTAGCAAAAAACAACCCAAACGGTATAAAATGACTATACTCCTATCGAATATATATATATAGATAGATTTATTTTTTTTGTTTTTTTTATCTTTTTAGTTAACGATCGACGAATCAATGTTGACAGTTTCTATGCATTCGGATATCCAGATCAAAAACGACGACGACGACGGCGATAAATTATTAGTATTGCTTTACTGATTTTTTTTTCTTTTTCCCGTATTATATTCTTTTTTTTTTTTTCTTCGTGTCAATATTCGTGAAACAGACATTTTTGATTACTGCTAACAGGAAAAAAAAAGCAAAACACTAACATACACAAAGAAAAAGAAAAAAAAAAAGAAAATTTGAACATGTGTCTCTGCGTGAAGTGAAAGAAACAATTAACAAAATAGACACGATTGTTTTTTTTTTTTATTATCTTATTTTATCTGTCAAGTACGAGGGTATGCAGCGTCATAATGACCTACACCATATTGATTATAAGCTAAATAGATTGTCTTTTGAGTTAATGATAATAAATTATTCTTGTATTCAGGTTTAACATCGATACGAGGTAAATTCAAAACTGAAGTAAATATAGTTATATTGACATTGAGTGTATTAGCAATAGTCAATGGTACAATATCACCTAATGTTGAATCAGAAACACCATTTTTAGAAAATTTTTTAACTTCTTTAAGAAATGCAACTTTTTCTTTATCAACAAATTGACTATAATAATCTTCATGTAATCTCCATTGATCTACGCATATTTGTCTTAAACAATCGGCAAAATCAACTAAACGAAAATGTATTGGTAAACGAAATAATCGATGTATTTGTAAACCAAATTCATGAGGATCAATTTTCATTTCATAAATAAGACCTTCAGCAAGAGCATAAAATAGACAATTACCATCACCTTTAACTGGTAATCGTTCAATACCATGTTTAGATAAATTTTGATTTAATTGTTGTTCATGATAAAGATATTCATCATCAGAATTATTTGTTGGTTGTTGATTAGAACATGAAAATGCATTACGAAAACGACTATAAGTTTTCATTGATGATGGATATGTTGATGAAATAACAGGTGATAATGAAGAATTTGTTCGATGTTGTTGTTCTATCGGTGGAAAATAAGTTTGAACCATAGATTGAGGTTGATTTAGAACAAGAGGTCCACTTGTTGAATAACTGTTATAAAATGAAGGTGCATAAATCCATTGGGTTGGTTGAGATTGTTGTTGTAATGTTGATGAATAATGAAATGTTGGATTCATTTTCTATATAAGATTTAAATTGATGACGTTTTGATTTCGAAAAAAAAAATACAAATAAAAAACAACGGACGATTTTTTTTTTGCGTTCTTCACGTCACCAAAAGGTAATATATGCTCGTGATTATTTTCTTTTCTTTTTTTTCCCTGACGCCTACATCTATTGCAACCTCGTGCTATGAGTCGATCGATGTACGAAGACAGTCGGGGGTGTTTATTACATTACTCAGTCGCTTACTATACGAGTCATCGTCAGTCCACCACTTCGTTTTCTTTTTTGTTAATCAAGATGACGAAGAAAACAGAAAGAAAAAGAAGTATGACATAAAGAAGAAAAAAAGAAAACAAAAAAGAAACAGTTTGTCTTTGCTATTCGTTCGTCCGCTTTGTCTATGTACCATATGCATAGAGCAATATATACATTATATACTATTTATCTTTGACACGTCATCAATCGATAATACAGGTACATAAGAATGTGAGTTACCCGTTCGCATTCTTTCGATTCGTATTTAATCGATAATAAAAATCTTTAATGCAGAATATAGACATAACTCAATTGTCGATTGAAACAGATGTACGTTGTGCTTTAAAAGAAGATATTGGTGATGGTGATGTGACTGCACAACTTATTCCATTAGAACAAATATCAAATGCTACGGTTATTACTCGTGAAGTAGCAATTATTTGTGGAATTTTATGGTTCAATGAAGTTTTCCGTCAACTTGATTCTGATAATAATATAATTATTAAATGGAATGTAAAAGATGGTGATCGTGTACAACCAAATGATATTTTATGTACATTAAAAGGACTATCTCGAATATTACTTACTGGTGAACGAACAGCTCTTAATTTTCTTCAATTACTCTCAGGTATTGCTACTCGATGTCGTTATTATGCTGATTTAGTTCAAGGAACTAATGTTCAAATACGTGATACACGTAAAACAATACCAGGTTTACGTCTTGCTGAAAAATATGCTGTTACTCAAGGTGGTTGTTATAATCATCGTTTAGGACTTTATGATGCTTTTCTTATAAAAGAAAATCATATAGCTGCATGTGATAATAGTATTGAAAAAGTTATAAAACGTGCATATGAAATTTCATCAAATAAACCAATTGAAATTGAAGTTGAAAATCTTGATGAATTACAACAAGCACTCAATGCTAATGCAAATATGATTTTATTAGATAATATGAATTTAGATGAAATACGTCAAGCAGTTCAAATTACTAGTGGACGTGCTAAACTTGAAGCATCCGGTGGTATTAATGAAACAATATTACGTGCAGTAGCAGAAACTGGAGTGGATTTTATTGCACTGGGCACCTTAACAAAAGATATCAAGGCAATTGATTTATCAATGCGATTCCAACCTCAATAATGAATCAATAGAAAAACTAGACTTGTTAATTTTTTTTGTTTTTTGAAATATATTTAGAAATTACATCACTTTTTTTTAATATGTTTTTGATTAATAAATAAATACTTGAAGATAATGAAGACATAAGTCATTTATTCTATTGGTAGTATCTATGAACAATAGTTATTTAATATTTGAATATGTTATTACTCAAAATAATTAAGCTCATAAAAAAATACAATAGAGAGACAAGACAATTATAATGAGACTCGTCGATTTTTGATCAATCACCATTTATTATCGTTATAAAGCAGTACAAAATTGCAATATAAAATTATTTTTTTTTTCAAAAACATTTTTACAATCATTTAGTGCCATCTAGAAAATTTTCAGAAAAAAAAAATATTTAAAATACGATGGATCTAAATCGAACTTTTTTTTTCATGTCTTACAATTTCGTTTTTTTTTTGACATGTTACCATATGGTTTCAAATGTATCCATAGTTTACCCAATAATAAATCTTGGAAAGAATTCTTAACACACATATTTTCAAAATAAGCAAAAGGTAATATTTCTTCTAGTCAAATGCCTCGCTGTCGACGTAGTAATCGACATCATCTTCGAACTACTCAAATTGACCCTTTACTTACATATGATGGTATTCAAACAAATCCATTATCATATACAAATAGTGATATTCTTCCAATTGATAATAATTCAATTTGTTTAGCTGAACTTTATTATGAACATTGGAATATAAATTTAACAACAGAAGAAATATTTCTTCATGATCCATTTATATTTATTGATAATGATGAAAAAATATATTTTAAAAATAAAATTCATCCATTAAAATGGTTATATGATTTAATTAAAAATGAACAATTATATCTATATTATTCATTAAAACAATGTACATTAATACTTGTTTATTCATTAATTTCATTTAGAAATAAAAAACAAATTTTTAATATATTTACATTTTATAATTATTGTAAAGAAAATGATAAAACAAAACAATTTTTTAAACATTTATTTGTATTTGATGATTATCAATCAATATCACAAATAAATAATAATGACACAAATGCAAATAATATAATTGATTTTATTTATCAAGAAATTCAAGCAACAACAATGATTAATAGTGATAATAATAATAATAATAATAATAATAATTCCGCATTTTTATCTAAATCTTTTTTACAAAATGATGTTATTCAATTAAAGGATCATCAAATAAAATCAAGTAAAACAAAAAAAAAAAATTTATTATATCAGTGAGACAAATTTCGAGAGGGAGTTCCGAAGGCAATCGCTCTTCTCTTTCCATAATATTTTTCTCAGTAGAAATAGTCAAAACACGATCTCTAATAGACTTTCAAAAATACATTCTATGACTATGATCGTTTTGCTTTATCTAAAATCTTAGATCCACTGTTGTCTTATATAATTTTTCAAATGTTGATTCTTTTTTTTTTTTATTTTTGTAGTTAATTGGATGCTTACACGAGAAAAAGATTTATCATCATCAATTGTTTATACACCAATCCATCGTTGTCATGATTTATTTGATAATTTATTTTATGTTCATATTATATATGGTATACCATTACATATAAATGAAATAAATAATTGTTCTTATGAACAATTTTCATTATTTGGTGGAATACTTGCTGATGAAATGGGTCTTGGAAAAACAATGTGTGTATTATTAACATCATTATTAAATAAATGTACAAATTCATTTCTTTCGGAAAATTTTTTAAATATAAATCAAACAATTTTAAATGATAATGAAGAATATCCAGTAAATAAAAAATTTAAATTTGATGAACAATTATCTTTACCTTGTATTTGTGGTAAAATAGCAAAATTATCAAAAAGAAAACAAAATTTATGGGAAAATTTTCTTTTAATTTGTACACAATGTTCACGTTCAATACATAAAAAATGTTTTATACAAAATGAAAATCAACAACAATTATTTATTTGTCCTTATTGTGAACAACGTTTAACAAATAATCATGAATTATTATCAACAGGTGCTACATTAATTATTGCACCAGCAGCAATTATTGATCAATGGATTGAAGAAATAGATAAACATTTAGATTATCCATTAAATATTTATATGTATGAAGGTATTGTTAATAAAATACCAATACCTGATCGATATTTTCTTGCTAAACAAGATTTTATATTTTGTTCATATGAAAATTTAAAAAAAGACATACATCATAATGAAATATGTTCAAAAGAACATCATTCAACAAGAACACAAATACGAAAATATGAATATTTAATAAGTCCATTATTACGATTAAAATTTTGGCGTCTTGGTTAGTAAATATATCTTTTTTTCTTTTTTTCAAAAAAAGATTTTAATATTTCTTTTTTTTTTTTTTGTTTCTTCTTTTTCAGTACTTGATGAAGCTCAAATGTAAGTTTTTTTGAAAATTTTTTGTTGATGATATATGATATAATGATATCTAAATAGTTAATAAACTTCTCTTTTGACCGTTTTATTTTTGTAGCATAGATTTTTATATATCATTTGAAAACCTGTAATTTCATGAGATATTAATATATGCTATAAATCAAAACTAGTATGGAACTAGGAAAACAATATTTCAATAGGATTTCAGTTTTTAGATGTGCATTCAAAAATATTTTATGAATAAATTCTAAAAATAATAAATATTGTTTTTCATCATTCATTTTTCTTTTCGTTGACGATGAATTCATTATTGACATTGTTCCAATTTAAACTTAAATTCTAAAATACGTCTCAAGTCTATTATTAATGAAATATCGAAGAAAAAGGTTTTATTTTTTATACTAGTCAAATAATTGTTATCCTGTCGTATTAAATAAATCTTTAATTGATATAACACTTAAAATATTAAAGAAAAAAAAAATTAACAAATCAAAAAAATATATCAGAATTTTTAATTAATCGTAATAAATATTAAAATAGGGTTGATTCACCAAATACACCAGCATCGAAAATGGCTCGATCACTTGTAGCACATCATCGATGGTAAAATAGTTTTAATCTATTCTTAAAATAGACTTAATTATTTTTCTTTTTTAAGGTTTGTTACTGGTACACCATTTCATCGTTCAATAAATGATCTTGAAGGAATAGTTCAATATTTATTTCCATTAACAAGTATACCACGAGATCAAATATCAATATTATTAAGAAAAAAAGATAAAATAAATGATGTATTTTTATCATGGATAATGAATTTTCTTAAATCAATAACTCGACGAACATCTCGTCAATGTTTAAATGATTTACCTGAACAATATGGTAAATAGATTTAAAATTGAAATCTAATCTTTGTAAAAAGAAAAAAAAAACCACATGAATATATTTTTAGAACGTGTTATACGTTTACAATTTTCTCAACTTGAAAGAACATATTATGATCGAATATGGAATGAATGTCGAGATGAATTTAAACGTGAATTTCAACATTTATGGCAAAAAAGAGAAAAAGAAAGAAATGGTAATTTATCATAAATCAACTTTTTTTTGAAGAAACTATCTGAAACCTACAAGGAGCATTGCTAGAATTCATCGGATTGAAATCAAAAAGTACAGCATGTTTTCTTATTTCTCTTCATTTTATAAGATCTGAAAAATTCAAATTCAACAAACTCTTGACAACATTTTGTCGGCTTGTACATCTGAATAATACATTGATTTAACATAATATATATTTTAGAATTAAAATTCTTTATTTAAATAGGTGGAGTTTTACCAGAACAACCTGTAACATGGACATTAGAATTTGATAGTGAAATCGATATGAATGATATTCATTTTTTATCATCAACAGCTCGTACTTGTCTTCAAACACCATTAATAAAACTTCGTTGTTTATGTGATCATCCACAAGTTGGTGCATATGGTGTTAGGTAAAAAAAAACAAGATATTAATTTATTGTTTATTATTTTATTTTTTGTTTTTTCAAGACATAATGATCCAGCACTTGTTCATTATTATAATCGTTTTCATTATTCATCGAATAGAAATTTTTCTGTTAGACGTCAAACTGATTTATTAGAAACAAATTCATCATTGAATAAAGATGATCAACCATTTACAATGAAAGATTTACTTGATTTATTAACAGCACGTGAACTTGAAAGTGGAGAAGATTGTCTTCGTCTTTCATTATTGAATTTTAATGGTCTTGCTAGTATATATCTTATACAATATGAACATGAAATAACTCGACCTATTATTGAAAATAATAATAAAAATGATCAATATTATATTAATATGGCTATACGAACATATGAAAGAGTTATTGAAACATCTGAAATTTATAAAGAACATTTTCATGCTGATTCATTTCAATTAGCTCATGCTTATTATAATCTTTCATATTCGATATCATTATTAATTAAAAATGAAAATTTCAATATGAATATTCAAAGGTTTATTTATTAAAATCTTTTCTTTTTTTTTTGTTTTTATTGTAAATCAAATTTTTATCTTTTAGTAAATATTCAAGTAATGAAGCATTACATGAATTTAATAAAATTAAAGAACGACATCAAACACAATCTGAAAATGAAATGAGTGAAGCATGGAAAAATTATAATGAAAAATTATTAACAAGAAAAGATGTTGAAAAAGATATTAAAAATTTACTTATAGATATATCAACATATATTAAACCAATTGAAAATGAAAAAGTTGAAATACATTATCATGTTAATCGTGAACGACAATTACCATTTACAACATGGAATGGATTTTTATTAAAATTAGTACAAGAATTTGATAAATTACAACAAATTCGAGAAAATTTATTAATTTATATTGAAGCATTAAAACGACAACCAAATAATGATGATGTTGCAAAAATGTTTTCATGTTCAAAATGTGGTTTAGATAATGATATATCAAATGAAAATATTTGTATCTTTTGTGAATGTGATACTGTTATGAAAAGTTATAATTGCAGGTATATGATAAATTATATCGATTCCATAGACAAACATGTTTCGTTAATTTTTTTTTTATAAATATTCAAAAGCTAAGCTTAGCAAAAGTTTATTTTCTTAAAACAATGATTAGAGATAATAGAGCTTTGCAAAGATAAATTAATCTGATAAGAAACAATAATAGATGAAATAATTCTAATAGATAATCACCGACCATTTGTTTTCTTTCTGATCGTTTTCATTAAATTTATTCGTTTACATTTATTCAGAATCTAAATTTAAAGAGTTCAGTTTCGAACTGAAGTATAAGATCAAAAGAAATATTCAAACTACTTCAGTGATCGATAATAGAAATTGATTTTACAATCGCTTTTAATCATCAATCAATTGAAATAGTCTTGAGGTTTCAAATAGACTCAGACAAGAGTATTTTAAAAAAGAGATAAAAATACGATCAAAATTTCTCGAAATTACACAATCGGAGAAAGTTCTAATACAAATTTTTAAACCCAAGATTGGATATCCTCCTTAAATTCGTCTCTTATAATAATACCGCCTAGAGCTCATCCGATCCGGATCTAGAAATTTTTGAGCCCAATGAGCTTCAATGCCGCCTCTGTAGAGTAAGCAGTTCTTGTGTGACAAATGTATGATTTGACAGAAATGAAATATTTAGAGAAATTTTGTACATAATTATAAATATATTTAATCATGTTGTTCCATCTAAATAATAATTTTATATTGTTCTATGTAAACATATTTTCATTTTAGTCTTCAACCAGAATTATATTCTGATAAACAAATAAATGATGATGGTGGTACACATTTAGTTTATTTTATAAATGAAATTTTATCAAAAGCTTCAATGCGTTCACATGAATCAACTCGTCAATTAGCAAAATTATTACGAACAGATTGGAATGATTTACTTAAAAAACTTCGTTTAGAAAATACATCAGCACGAACATATTCTCAACAATTAAAACATTTATATTTATCATTAGATGAAATGCTTCAATGTACATCACGTCTTGAATATTATATAGGTGATCCAAAAACTCGTCCAAAAAAACATTATAATCGTTATCGTTTTAATCCTCAAACTATTGAAGAAGAACGTTTAGATTTTGAACAACAAGCATTAGATAATTTAAAAAAAGTTATTAAACATCGACAACAATTTAATTATTTTCAAGAACAACAACAAGATTATTATCGTTCAATAACAACAACAAATCTTCTATCATCACAACGAACAAAATGTCCAATGTGTCATGAATTATTTGGTGATGATCGACCTGATGTTTGTTTTTTTTTATGTGGACATTTCTTTTGTCATGAATGTACATTACAATGGAAAAAACATGAAATTGATCAACGACCACATCGATCACATATTAAATGTCCTATCTGTATGTAATTTTTTGTTTTTCTATTATTATTTTATAATATTCTTATATATATATGTATATAGGTCGTCGTGAAATTCCAATTAATTCATTAACAGTTCTTAAATGGCGAGATCAAAATTCAAAAACAATTACATTATCATCACCACAAAAAACAACATTAGAAAATTCTATATCAGATGATATATCATCTCCACGTTTTCGTCGTTTAATGGAAACTCAAGAACTTTTAACAATTCAAGGTCGTTATGGTACTAAAGTTGATTCTATTGTTTCATTTATACTTAATCTTCTTAATGATGATATTCAACAACCAACAACTATGACTATAACAACAACAACAACAATGAATAATCCAAAACCTCCATTAAAAATTCTTGTCTTTTCACAATTTACTGATGTACTCAATGTTTTAGCTATTTCACTCAAACTTAATGCGATTTCCTATTTACAATTTACATCAACTAAAATTCTTCAACAATTTCGACAAGATCCTAATATAACTGTTCTTCTTATGCCACTTGGAAAAGGTTTTTCAAATAAAATATAATAATAATTATAATTAATATTATTTTATTAATTTTATATATAGGAGCTAATGGTCTTAATTTAACTGAAGCTCAACATGTTATTCTTGTTGAACCTCAAATTCATCAATCAGTTGAATTACAAGCAATAGCTCGTGTACGTCGTCTTGGTCAAAAATATAATACATATGTTTATCGAGTATGATTCAATAATATAATTATTTGAAAAATAATTTGTTTATATTTTCTTTTTTAATTTATAGTTTATTGTTAATGATACAGCAGAAGAAGTTGTACTTGCTAATTCTCGAACAGCACAAACAATACCAATGAATAATCATCAAACAACAATTATATCTGATCATTCATCAACAAGTCGTGCTACATCATTTGCTGATTTTGAACTTCTTTATGAAATAAATATGGCACGAAAAATATTTTTTCAATCAACAACAACAACGACAAATCATCAATTAGATATATCTGTATTATAAAATAATAAAATATCTTTATTGAGATATTTGTGTTTTTTTTTTGTTCCACACTATTAAAATTGTATATCGTTTTGTTTTAATGTTTGATTAAATATTTTCAATAAACAAGAATGATATATTGATTTTTATCTGTATATTATATAATATATTTAGGTTAATTCAATGGTTATTAAACGCATGTTACATTTAATACCCATTGTTATCTGTTTATGTGTAATTATAAATTTAATATTTATTATTTATTCACCACCTCGATTTGTAATATTTTTACTTTCAAAATTTTATCCTGATGTTTTATTTCATATTAATTTACCATCTAATTTACAATATATTGCACTTACAATTGATGATTTTCCAAATGTAAATGATCTTTCAATAAGTTTTCGTTTACTTGATATACTTCGATTGTATAATGCACAATGTACATTTTTTACAATTGGATCACATATAGAAAAATATAAGAATTCATCTCAAATACGAATTTTATTCGAACGTTTAATAGCTGATGGTCATGAAATAGGAAATCATGGTTGGCGAGATGAACAAGCAATACGTCTATCACAAAAAGAACTTGAACAACAAATAATTGATACAGAAAAAATAATTAATAAATATACTTTATTAAATAAAAAATGGTTTCGACCAGGTTCAGGATTTTTTAATCGAACAATGATACAAATTTGTACTAATCTTGGTTATCGACTTGTATTAGGTTCAATCTATCCACATGATCCACAGATGCCTTATTCAAAACTTAATTCATTTTTTATTGAAAATAAATTGTATCCTGGTGCTATTATTATATTACATGATCGATTAGTAACTATTGAAACATTACAAAGAGTTTTACCAGCTATACAAAAACGGGCTTTTCATGTTGTTACACTTACACAATTAATGAATTTGAAAACAAATCAATAAGATCAATTTAATATAGACGTAAAGATAATAAACTTCCTATTAAACAAAGTTTAATATCATAGAAAATGCTTTGTTTCTTTCTAGAATGGACCTCACGTTCTAATAGTTTTAATCGAAATTTGAAATTGAATTACGAAGTCATCATATAAAACTTTTATTTGATCAAATAAATAAAAATTGACCTTTTTTCTTCTTTCAAAATTATCCTGTTTCTTGTCGATAAAATTTAATAGCTATTAAACCTTTATCATTAAGGTTAATATGAAATATTTATAAAAGATGAAGAAAAAAAAATTATTTTTCATAGACAGAAATTTATTATGAACTGTAGTTTAAATCAATCAACAATATCTAATTTAAGCACATTCAAAAAACACAAGTCATACGAATACAAAAGTTCTAATTAATATCTATACTTAATATTTAAAAAAAACAAAAAGACAAAGATTATAATTTAAACATATCAATAGTTGATCCTTTTTGTTTTAAATGAAAACAAAGAGCAATTAATGCACTTGCACTCAATCCACAACAAACATCTAATGCAATAAATGAACCTTGTTGTTGTTCACTAATATTATTATCATTTATAAAAACATATAAATAAATAATAAAAATTAATTGAAGACCAATAAAAAGTGCTAAAAATTTTAAAAATAATCTTAAATGAAGATAATCATGATATAATAGGACATATATGCCAATAATACATATAATAATTGCTAATATACCAATTGACAAACCAAAATTGATAATAAGAAGAGATAAAGAATGAAAATAACCTAGAATAACACCAACTATTGAAATACCACTTAAACCCATAAGAATTAGCATTATTTCCGCTATGAATGATGTTGAAGACGTCAAAATTGTCATTTTTTTATCTTCTTCCATTGTACTACTACTACTATCGAATAGTTTGAATAATGTCTTCTATTCAATGTTTAAATAACTATAGATCTCTATGACAACGGGCAACTATGTAACTAAGTTCAACTAGAAATGAATAAGAAGTAAAAGGTGAATGAAGAAAAAAAAAAGGATCAAAATAATGTATAAAATAAGTGAACTGTGTTCACTGATCATACCCGACAGAAAGAAAAGAAAGAAATGAAATATAAAATAAAACTTGTCTCATATGACGATTCATATTCATGGATTAAAAGAAAAAATAAAAAGTTTTTTTTTTATTTTATATGTTTAGTCGTAATCATACTTTCTTTTAGTTGCATAGACAAAAACAAAAATGATTGATTACTTACAATAATTATTTAGAGTCAGTTGCAAAGTATCGATGATTTATTTTATTTTTGTATTAATGAAAATGATTGATAAATATCAACCTGATAAGAAGGAGTTAATTAATGATGATTAACATTAAATACTTTCCATTTTTCCTTGTTTTTCAATATCTAGATCACAGTTTATACAGGATATGCTAAAAGCAAGGAAATACAAAATTTTTGTTTTAACTTTGCCTCTATACATGAATAATAAAATCTCTTATTTATATTACATATACTAGATAGTGATAATTAGAGGCATAGCATTATTATCCGCCTCTGGTCCCTATAGTTTCTTTGAAAATTATACTGATGTATCTTGTATATTTTTTTGTGACTATAGCAAAACTGTTTTTTTTCTGGTCGAATTTTATTTTCGTGTTTTTTTGTCTGATTGGATCGATTTGCAGAATAAATCGGCTTATATTATTCTTTTTGAATTCCTTTAAGATAAAACAGTGAAAAAAAAATGAATACAAATGTAGTTTATTCTGCAAATCGGTACAGTCAGACGAAAAGTGGTAATCAAATTCGATAAGGAAGCAATAATTCCTGTTCCAGTTAAATAGGAGTATACAAGATACACTGGTATGTTTTTGAAACAAACTATTGAGGCCAGACACTGATAATATGCTATACCTCTGACTACTACTACCTGATATATGTGGTATAAATAAGAGATTTTATTATTCATGTATAGCAACGATATCAAAAAATTTTGTGTTTTCTTACTTCTGGCTCATTCTGTATATAAATACTTGTCGTTTATTCTCTATTATTCATAAATTTGTGTTATACCTCTTGAATATAATAATTAAGTTCTATTCATATCGTAATATAAACTTTGAAACTTAGTACGTTCGACAATACGGTGCCAGATTAAATTAATAATTAGTAATCATGCAAAGCAGGAAAATAAATTCAAGTTAATTTATTGACTTTTATTAAAAAAAGAAAAAAATCTAGTTATATCTTCTAATTTAATTTTTGAAAAAAAAAGTTCTATATAATCTTTTTCTTTTTATGAATGATCACTGGAGTTTGTCAAGATAAGTGTTCCGTTGTTCTATAGTTCATTGAAAACTAATCTCAAGTTCTTCAAGTCCATTAACAAACACAGTTGGTGATACATGAACATCACAATTTCTTACATATTTAATAGGATATCGGAGATCAATTATAATTGCATTTCTTGCATAGGATTCCGTTTGTTTTATACGAAACAAATTTCTATCAAATTGAATTTCTATTCATAAATTTCTACTCGAGATTTTCCTTCAACATATTCATCAAAGAATTTGAATATGCAGCATATTTTGGCAAAAATTTCCTTCGTTTTGTCGTTCGTGTAAATATTAATCTTTGGGATATCGTCAACTAAATGATATAAAAAACAATAAAAGAAGTATTTAACTTTGTTTTTCTGTTTCACCACACGTTATGCATACGTCATACAAGGTGGCAAGCAAGACGAAATTTTTAAAGAGAGAAAAAAGAGATTGTTTTCTCTCCACAACTATCTCTCATATCTTTGATGAATAATAAATTCAATCATAAGATTTTCATGTCATTACGGATTATAAAACACGTTCAAAAATATCTCATAAAACAAATAAAATCATAATCTAGCAGGATGATTACCAATAGATATTTACTCTTTTGTATATCTCACAGAAAGTAATATAACTTTAATACAACAATTATTTGCTTAAAAGATTTATCTCAAAATAAATCTATAATGTGTAAAATCTATTTGAACAAAAGCAAAAACCGAAACTAACTATGAAGATCATGCATAAATGTTTTTCAAACGATTTGTAGAATATTTTAAAAGTCAATAAATAAAAAACTTCTATTGTAAGAACGATAAGAGAAATTATTGTTGCTCGAACTTTGACATGTATAGAGTTGGAAATAATATTTTTCTAGGGAGGTACCACTATAATTTCAAATAGAAGACATAATGAATTTTATATCAAATGAAAGCTCGTCAAAAATTAGGTTTATTGGTACTAAATAGTGAAGGTTATGAAAACTTTTTAATATCGAACTTAAGAAATTTTCAGACATTTTATACTTTTTTTGGGGCGATAAATTAAGGTGCCGGTAATTCAAAAATGGATTAAAGTTTTTTTTCTTGGGTATGTTTACATGGTTCGATCGAACTCGTCGAGCTCTACAAAACTGTATATATTAAAAAATGTTTAAGTAATTTTTTTGCGATAAAAAATTCAAAAAACTACTTGGAAAATCTTAAAAAATGCTCAAAAAAACTCATATTTTTTATAAGGAAGAAAAAACTTTGATTTTTCAATAAAATTAGCTCTTTTTATTAGTTTTACTACCTTAGGTTTTTCAAAATATACTCATTCGATGCAATTTTTCACGCTGCATTGAATGAGTATATTACGACATGGCTCAGGTAGTAAAAATAATAAAAAGAGCTAATTTTATTGCAAAATCAAGTTTTTTTTTCATCCATATAAAAAATATGAGTTTTTTTGAACATTTTTTAAGATTTTCCTAGTAGTTTTTTGACTATTTTATCGCAAGAAAATGACTTACAATTTTTTAATATATACAGTTTTGTAGAGCTCGACGAGCTCTATCGAACCATGTAAACATACCCAAGAAAAAAAAACTTTAATCCATTTTTGAATTACCGGCACCTTAATTTATCACCCCAAAAAAAGTATAAAATGTCTGAAAATTTCTTAAGTTCGATATTAAAAAGTTTTCATAACCTTCACTATTTAGTACCAATAAACCTAATTTTTGACGAGCTTTCATTTGATATAAAATTCATTATATCTTCTATTTGAAATTATAGTGGTGTCTCCCCAGAAAAATATTATTTCGAACCTATGACGTCCTTATTTTACATTGATGTGTATATGGTTTATTTTTAAGATGTTATTTTTTAAGCTTTTCTTATCAGTTATATTTTTGGTGAATCAAAAAAACAATAATCTCTCTCTCTCTCTCTCTCTCAAATTATCCCAACTTATATATATATATATATACAGTCACGCATTACTAACTGCGCAATAAATTTCAGTTCAAGGTCAAGAAAAACGTTCTCTTGACTTTTACGAGAAAAGGAAAAAAGAATAACAACAGAGATTGAAGAAAAGGAACAAGAGTTATTAGATCAAGGAAAAGAATGAAAGCATATGAAGATACAAACGAACACACTAAGTGAAATATCTAACAGAACGAAAGAAAAGACAGATACTGTAAATCCTATATGTATGAAACAAAAGAAAGACAACCAACATATATGGATAATACATATAACATTTTTTTCTTATGACACATCAAACACAAGTGCCATAGCACAATCTTATAATGCTATTTGTTTTCTTCTAAAAAATTATAAAAACAGGTGATGAAGTAATAAATAAGCAAGCAGAATAAACTTTATGACCATTCAAAATAATGAAATGCATTATCTAAACATTATTTGATCTATAATAATAAATATTGTAATGAACAAATTGAATAAAATCTGATCTAGTATGCCAAAGTAGAAATATGATAAAACACTTTTATATCGCTAATCATTGCTAACATAAGATACATAACATAGGTTGAAAACGAAGTATTTAAAAAGATCCTAATTAAATTAGAAAAATAACTAATTTACTTCAAGTTCTAATCTATTCAAGAAAAATAATCAAAAAGCAATGAGAAACATATTAACAACTAAAAGAATAAAGAAAAAGGACCTGTATATAGTAGTCATTCGATTTTGACTTACTGCTAGATCCATTTCAAGCAAGTCTATGAACAAGACAAATAAAAATAAAGGAAAATAGAGCAATGAAAATCGATATGATTACATTACTATTATGTATATAATGGAGTTGTTCTAATATCTAATGAATAATTAACTCAATAGATAGAAGATAAATTTCATTAATTATAACAAAACTCAAATGAAATAGTCCTTATATGTAACATTCAAATACTTACAGAATAAGTTGTTCATTTCAGATAATTATTATTGTAAATTAATTTATACATGATAGACACTGTTACTATTCATATAATAACTATTTATAGCATACTTATCAACATGAAGTATTAAACATAGTTACCCAACAGATAAAAGAGTCAGTTCTTCTTGTATGAAACTACAGCATGATTTTAACGATTGATGATCAGATTGGTTGGATGTAAATCTAAATAATTGAAATCACAAACTATATTAGAATTTTTCCTGTTAAAGAATCAAAGAATAGTCATTTCTTTGATATTGATATTGACTATTTTGTTTTATATGCTTTTGAAGTAGAAATATGAGTTAAAATTTGATTGGAATCATTTTTCAAGCAGATCTTATTGACCTTCTGAATACTCTCATTAGTTGAAGTGACACGAGAACGTACAATTTCGTTGGATATAACGCTTGCAAGTAGATTATAGTCTGAGTTCTCAAATAGAATTTTTGCTTTACACACTATCTTTCGAAAGTATTCACATTTTTCAATACATTTTCTTTTTGCAAATTTTGTCAATTGTATAGTCGTATCCATTCAATATCAACAATGTTTTTATTCTCAACGTTGTAATAAGTTTAATAGTAGACATGGTTGTAAGAAAATTAAA